AATGTCAGCATTTTCGAGAACAATTGTAGCAATAAGGATTTGGTATAGTCTTACTACAGATAAAAAAAGCAGGGGGTTCACAAAATTTGCTTTCACAATAATTAAAATTTAATAACTACTTCTGTTTTTTTTTCTTGAACTATGTTAGCATAATAACTTTATCGTCGATTGCGATTTGGGTCTCCTTTTTCCGGTTTTCTTTCTTAGGGCCTCCCATTCAGTCATGTTAGTTGTATGTAATAAGAAATTAAGTTATTGGTGGCAAATATGCAATTTTTTCAATGCTCACATTTTTTGCTTTTGTATTTCTTCGCTTTTAAGCTTCTAGGTTATCTAAGTATCTCTTGGCAGAATGGGCTTACAATGTCTTCTCACAAACGAATTTTTTGGATTTGGAGCGTTTGGTTGGTATAATTCATAAAATTGTTTGTAATGTATTTGTTTCCTTTTTAACAATAAAGTAATATTACAATTATTATTAATTTTTAATAAAATTTATATGCGTTGGCTATTAAAACACTTTTTCTCGCCTGAATAAACCTAGGGCGAAACCCGTTTCAAGCTCTTCGAAATGAAGATGCAGTTAGTGATCAACCATGGTTGGTGTTGGTAAACACATGGGCGGGATATCGACAGGCCTTCGGCTGAAAGCGACTCAATGATAATTAAGATGCTTAAATGTAAATTTGATTTCGCCCATTCTCCTCGCCAATTTCGCCGCAAATAATTTTCCATAATCAATAGGAATTACGGATTATAAGTGGGCATTTATCTGATGAAAAGTTAGGGTAATGACCGAGCGAGATGAAGATGTCTTAAAGGTAAAATGGTATATTTATGGGTTACGCGCGTGATGTATAAAACTGGCTTCTTCCATCGTATTCAGGATTTTCCCTGAGCCGGACTCGCAATATCGGCACAGGAATGTTACTTAATATTGCGGCGTATATAAGCGGCAAAAGTAAAAATAAAATAACCTTTCGGATCCGACGTCAATTAATCAGTTGTATTTTAACAATACACATATCAGCAGAAAATTTTCATGCCTTTCTAAGCCTTTTTAGTTATGTATTTCCGCACCTCCTTGGCTGTTAATCATTTATTTAAAGTCTTGGCGTTATTAAATAGATAATTTTTTGCGTAATTAATTCAGTCCAAGGAATGCCGGGAAATTTCATATTTGACATTTCCGTTCAGATGTTGCCGCCTTGCATGCCTTTATTATGCTTATAATGGAGCCAAAGCATGGAGGAAAGTAAACCAACCTATGCCAGCTTACAAAGCAGTTACGGCAATTTTTTTGCACTCTTTACTAACGATTCATGGCAAATGTTTATTGCACCATCGTTCAATGGATTTTCATCTAGTAAAAGCCACTTCACAGTCAATTGACTTGCAAGAACTTTACGTCATTGATTTTTTTAAAGTAGGTAGCACTGGAACAATAATGTCGTCGAGAAAATAAATAAAAAATAAATAAATTGAACGAGAATATAATCACAACGTATGAGTACTGTAATAATAAAGTATAATACATAATAATCTTATTCCCTGTTACTTAACAAACAAAATTCACGTTAAAGATTTACCAAAATTTCTTACAAAAAATCTTGCTCCATTGCGAACATTTAAATCTACTAAAAGTTGGCGCCTTTCCATAATGAATGTCGCTGACTACTTTCAATACAGTGACAACTGATTTGTGAGTTGTCTTTTAAAAATTTAGATAGCTGGGATTCACTGTTCTAAGTTAACAATGTCCACAAATCACGAAATTCGTGTGATACAATTTATGGATTAACTCTAACATGTCTGTGTTATTACTAATCAGCTGCAAAATGAGCCCTAGCAATAGTATAATTATATGCAACACTCAAATACATAATAAACAGTCTCTTGTTTTCTGAATTAAGACAACTGAGATACATTATCCTTCATATTTGTGTCATGTTGAGCCAAAGAAGAACAATGTCATTGACATTTTCTGCTTAAAATGGCAACTAGGTTTGATTGGAAATAATAAAATAGCAGATGCAGAGTATAAGTGACATAAAATGTCTTGATTAATTATCTTATCTTAATTATGCTTTAAGAGATTTGAATTTGCAGAGAGGATAGAATAGTTTAAGAATTGTTCAAGAAAAATAACAGATAACAAGTTTAAATACTGATTTCCAGATCATTAATATATCCGAAAAAAAAATTCGACATTGTAAGCTCCAAAGTAAAAGTACGTTACCGTGCTCGTTGATTCAGATGTAAAAAGCAACAAGCGCGCACAATTAAGAAATAAGGCCCGAGGCAAAAAATGTGTCGGACTCGACAGAGGAAAAGAAATGATTCAACCGCCCCTGCGAATCGTATTCTCGCGTCACTAAGGCACTTACAGAGACGGAATAGACTTACTTCGGCAACTCTGTTCTCTAAATCTCCGCATGATAGCTTATACTGAATTGAATGCGGCCCTGGACACTCACCAAGTTCAGAACAATAACGCAAATACATTACAAAAAAAAAAGAAAACGGTGGGATGCGATATGTTATGAGAAAGATACCGACAAAAAGTGGCGTGGTCAGTTGATACTGGAATATAGTAATTATCTGGGCTGAGTTGCAAAGCAAGATTATTCTGACCAGATGAGTTTATTATCTTCGGAGCTGCAAGTGAAAGATTCTTGCGTGTGCTTCAAGGTAGTAGAAAATGCCTGGTGCCGCCAGAGAATTAGTTTGGTGTCGGTAGTTTGCGAATGGTTTTCAGGCTGACACTTGAAGAAGAGTTTATAAGGGACCTTTAATGTACGCCTTCAATTACTGCATAATAATGACTCAGCAACGATAAAACTTATTGCCTAATTATTGGAGTAGCTGTGATAGCTTAAATGAAAATAGTCCTGGAGTTTATTAGGCGCTAATTATAATTATAAATTATTCACGCACATTACACAGAGAATTAGTACCTCTTAACCTCTTCATATTGCCTTCTATATATCACCAATAAAAATTACGCAATGCGGTTGTATGAATTGGATGGTGATGGATTAAAAAAAATCCGACAAACCATTATTCAATATTAGATGCGCCGACCTATAACATTTTGCTAAGCAAAGCATTGCAACGTAATATAAATTAGGCGTGGCCAATTACATTGACTAAGTTACACTTGAATGGCCATTGTTAGAGAATGATTTATAACTGGCTTCAATTTTAAACTTTTAACACTTATTAAGTTTAATTTCGGGTCGATCGGTGCGACGACGTTGGTTAGTTCGCGTGGAAAAAAATATTTCCTGTTCGAAAATATCAATTCTTTGAGAAAACTGTACCTGATAAAATAGTTATCGATAACTTTTAGATGTAAAAGCCGAACGAGGGACCATGTTGTATCAATTTTTAAACGGCACTATTACAGCGGTTCAAGTCCCAAAGGCCAATCTTTCTTCTCAAGTCTCAGTTTGATTTATAGCGCTCTCTACTGATACGCTGGAAGCCACAAACCCCATAAACGACACATCTCTTGATTTACACCGTATTAGCCAACTTGCCACACGGTTACCTTCACCAAGTCGTCACAACAACTTGGTAATTTGTGTGAGCGCGCGTTTGTTGCGATCTGCTTGATTTGCATCTCATTTGCCCTGCGAGAGCCAAACGCTTCTTTCGGAGTGGAGGCAACTCCTTTTGTTGTTTGTGAAATGAATAATTTTTTTATAAAAATATTTATAAACATGAAAATTTAGAAAATTAAGTAAATTTATCTCAAATAGAAGTTGAAGACGCAGACATATCAGACATGCTCATTTCCACCCAAATAAAAAAACCGGAAAACCACAATTATCTTGAATTACTGTTATTGAAATCATATTTCGCAAACCTTGGTTTTCAAGTACGGATCGAAAAATTTACAATTATATGACCGTTGAAAGTTGAAAAGAACTTTCAACGAAACTTTAAGAATGACTTCGTTGGCATTTGATGTATGCACCACATCCCAAAAAAATTTTAACGCTGCTTTAGCTATACATATTGCATTAAATTTTATAATAATTATAATAAATATTATGAATCTGGTATTTACTAAAAAATTTAAGGTCGATTAATGGAAATTATAAAAGTTTCTGTTCTAAACAAATTAATATTTTACCAATAAATAATTATTATAGCTGGTTTCATCCTTTTTGTAATATTCGGTTAATGTTGAGTACATGAGATCAAGATCTTAAGCTAGACTTTGCCGTTTGAGATGTGTAACTATTTTAGTTTGTATTAAATAATTTTGTCTAAATCTTGTGCAATAATTTAAAATATCTCAATAAAACTATTATTATTATTATTATTATTATTATTATTATTATTATTATTATTCGATTCGATAGAGAAGCCATATAACTTGGTCCATGGATCTCAGGAATTGTTTTACTTTAATTTTCTAACTAATATTCTAATTAATAAAATGGCTATTGTTATTTCTTTATTTTGTCTTCTAAAATTTCTACACTGGAATATTTCGGACTATAAATTCTGTAGACCAGCCTATTCATATGTTATTTAATATATCAATAAACTGACTGAGCAATTTTGAAATAAATGTGGTGACTTTTTTTCACCCTTTTATAATTACATTTTATCGGTACCCTTCAAGACCCACATTACATTTACGTAAATTTGTTTTTCGGTTTTACGCAAAAAAATTAACAAATAGTTTTATTATAAATCAATTTCGTTAATGTAATGTTGTGGCATAAATAACCGTGTCTTTAGTTCCTCGTATTTATTGATATTTACACCCGGTTCGATCCTCTGCGTCACATCTACTTGTACCTACATCCATTCGGCTTGATTAATGATCTTAAAATGGCATCTACAACCATTAAATTTTCCACGCCAAAGTCCCATATATTAGCCACGCAATTTCGAACGCCCCGATATTAGGTTAAACGAAATGACGAAAGTGTGATATCTCGGTCCACTTGAAGGTGATGATAATATTAAGAAAAACTTACTTTGACCAAGATGTACTCGTTTCATCCATGGATAAATCTGCGGTGGGTTAGAACCGTTGCCGCTCTTCGAATTATTGTTATTCGAATTGGATTTCTCGTTGCTGGAAGTCGAACTCGTGCTCGACGCCGGCGAGGACAGATTTTGCGAAGCCGTAGACGAAGCGGCCGCCGCTTTTCCTGGTGGAGAAGTGCTCACGGATAAAGGGGAGGTTAAACCGGTTTTCGAGGAAATCGTCGCGTTACTACTGTTCGCGGGTTGATTGCCAGTTAAAGGGGGTGTGCTGCGAGTCGGAGCGTTATTGGTGCTCAAATCCTGTGGAGACGCGACTCCTGTCGAAGAAGTCGAATCTGCATATTTGCAGCTCGCGGACGGGTTGAGCATTCCGGGACTTTGTCCCCCAGGACTAGCGTGGTGTAAATGAGAATTGGCAGCACCGGGTATTCGTTGGGGCTGCAGCTGAGTGTAATCGCCCAGAGGCTGGAGCCCGTGACCTGGGGCCGGTGCGGCATAAGGATGTGACGGGTATTGAGGTCCGACTTGAGGAGGAGAGTAACACGCGGGTGGATAATTCGACGCGGCAGCGTTCGGGTTGTAATAATCACCTCCCGGGCTGGCCGCCTGGTGTGCGGGGTCACCACCACGACCCTGTTGTCCGTAACACTGAGCCAAAGAATTGACGAACTGATAGGAGCTCATTGTTTAATTGTCACTGCTGTTACATGTCGCGCACAGAACAACTATGAGTAAACAAGCTAACACCAACTATAATAAGCACAAGCTTTGCGGGGTCGTAAAACTATCACCTTTAATTTTACGAATTTGTTCGGTAACCAATGAACAATGATGACGACATCGTCGAATCGACTGGGTTTCAACGCGACCGCATCACGTGGAAACTTATGTGATAATAATACGACTCGCGTCGCGTTCAGGCGCCACGACTGGGCGAGACCATGCGTTGGTTGGATTTAGGACGGGATTCCAACAGTATTTCGCGTTACAATCTTCTGACGAGGAGCAACGTATTGCTATACAGAACGACGGACAAGGATGTACGTACGAGAGGGGATAGCTTAGTGGCTTCGCCTACAAGCGAGTTTCGGTCTCGACAGGCGCAAGTCAGAGGCGGAGTTATCTACAGGCCCGGGGCGGTCCCGGACATTCAAATTGATAATTTGTGAATTGTTTAAGATTTGATGCTCAGCTGAGCCGTGTTAAGTTTACTGTATTCCGGTAGCTGGGTTAATGAATCAACGAAGCGATGAACATATAGTTGGTGATGATATGCGCTCTGTCGGAGGCGATCGGAAAAATTTTGAGTCTGATTGGCACTTGTCTGTTGTATTCGTGTTTGTTATTTTTTGCGTTTATTAAGTTTGATCGATGAACAAGTTTGTTCACAATTTTGTAAATGGTTTCTTTTGTGAGGTATGTACCTATCAGATTTGGCGAACAAGGAAAACATCCTTTCTATTTTTTTTTTTGTCACATGAACCTTTGTCTGGAAAAAATGCTTTTTCTGGAATATGACATAAGGAAGATTTGAATACTGCCACTTTGTTTTTAACTGCAATTTGCTTTCAATACTCATATATATGTTGTAGAAGTTAAAATCATTTTCTTGTATTTGAGGTATTTTGGATGTTTTTATAAAAACAAAAATTATTTAAATCAGTGAAGGCAACTTACTCACAGTTATAAGTTGCATCTTGACTAGTACCTGGATTTAAATTAGATTTTACATTATAAAGCAAGCAACTGAGCCGCAGTCGAAGGACAATAATACGTTAGATGTCAGCAGATTTGTATAAATTATAAGTGTTCTCTGGCGGATGGAGCCCCTTTAATCATCTTTATTTATTTTCTGCCTCATTTATTTACCATTTCAGTTGGTCAACGCAGAAAATATTTTTCAAAGCTTATAAACTTACGTTAACTGGCCCTATAATCATTATGACTGACTTAATGTCACAAAATCACAAGTAAAAAATAGGAAATGACTGATTGGCTTTCTAAGATTTATTTATAAATATGGCTGGTGTTTTCTGGCGCTACAAAATTTCAGTTTTATTCCTCTACAGTGGGATTAACAAATATGCAAAATTAAAATTCCCTGTACTAAAGAGTCTTTTTTGCTCTGTTCAAGCTCATGAAAATTTTTACTTTGTTCGCCTTAGAGAATTTTGATAATTTTTGTTCCGTATGTTGTGATCCAAACTAGCAAAAAATTTATATGTAATGATTATACACAATATAATCAACGCGAATGGACAAAGCAATTTTAGATGAAATAATTATTTGATATAGAGAATTTTAATATGTTTATTTTAGCAATGAAAATTACCAAATTGAATCAAATTTAGTTTGCGATTTTTAGTTTGATTTCTACTACTAGGTATGCAAAAGTATATCGCCTCAAGCAAAGATTATTGATGTTTGAAGATTAATGTTCTCTCCTGTATAGTTTTCGTTAGTTAGCATATAAAATTCTCACCAAGGTAATTTGATACTTCATAAGCTGCAAATATTAAACGCTAATGACAACATTGCCTTTAAAACGAAAATCAATTTATTGCTAAAATCTAAATAAATTTGTTTTGAGAATTGTGAATATGACTTTTTATCGTTTCAGAAACGCCTTCAACCTCCTTATTTAATTCTTTATTTTTATTCTATTTCTATTCTATTCAGTCTATTTTATTCGTTTATTTATTTATTCATCATGTAGAAATTTAATCCTTAAAGTTAATTGCCCCAATAAATACAGAAAAATCTTATTTCAAATTCTGATATCCAGAAATTATAATACAATATTTTCCCGAAAAATGAAACCCGAAAGCAATCCTTTCGAGCGAGCCTGGCGGCCAGGTAAGAATTCCTGCGATTTGCGGAAACACAAACCAATTTTTTAAATTGACGCGAAAGGTCTTCTTGATTTTTCACCCTGCTTGCAAGAATGCAAATTCCCATTGATGCCGTGACAAACAAGGCCAATTCTTTGGGTAATTTGAATACCCCGGTGTGGTCGTTTGAACCCCTTTTACCTTGGCATTATTTACCGATTATTCGCACTAATATGAGAAGGGTGCCCGGCGCATCTTTCCATCCAACAAATGACCCGTAATAGATTCCAAGAAGACGGCTAGAGCTCTGGAGATTTAGCCTTCTGAAAACAGCACGAAAATTGCAGTTCCTATGTTAAAAATTAACTTCTAAAATATCATTCCTTTATATCCGATTTTTTTTTTAATTCGTGTAAATAATATATACTTACCAACGCATGAAACAATAATGTTGCTAAGACCGTTCAGCTCCATTTTTTTTTTTTAATTTAGTATTTATTTAATTTAAATTGTTATATTTAGGACTCCGAATTATTAGGAAACAAAATATGGTCTAGTGAATTTTCTTCATTGCAAACATGCTTTTACTTTTTACTTTTACTCTATTTTAACAATAAAAATTTTTCAAAAGCATTTTATTTATACATTGTTTTTGGCAGTGCAAGGATATTGAAACCACAAAACGGAATAAAATGAAAAAATATTCCAACTTGTTTTTTTTGTAAATTAAGTGCAAGAACTTATCGTGAAAATAAATGATAATTCATTAAACGTTCTCCATATAAATAACAGCACCAAACATTTAACCAATTATGAATATGAATTTTCTAGTATAAACTCTATTGAGATCTATGTTTTCTCAAAATGACCCAAATAAATAGAAGCATTAGAGATTTTTTTAAAAGGAGTTTGACGAAATCTATACGCTTGATAGAATTCTCTGAGCTCATTAGGAAAAATCAGGTCTTGATAATTTGGTGGATGCTCCGAGCCATATTGTATGAATGCCTTAATAATGCAAATCAAGCTCCGGAAACGTAGTTCATATTTAATTTTTAATTATGTCGTGGAATACAAAAATTCTTAGAGAAAATAAAACCATCCAATTTGTACTTTAAGCTCGTTAAACCCTGCAGTAGCATGTTATCCTGCCATAAGTTAAAATCATTTTAATGTTTATTCATTACGAGATCGTTATCGTTAGCGATTGGTCGAGACATTTATATAAAAGTGGAGTTGACATTTAGAATACCTAAAATATTTGTAGAAGTTCTGTAAAAGGCCATCACTGCATCGATAATGGCGGGTAACTTCCAGGGGCCGAGGTAGTGAAAACTTTAAGCAAAACTTATTTTTTCCGTTCGGTTCTTCAGTGTAATTTTAAATTTTAAACTAACAAAACCCGACTTTGTAGTTAGCTGGATATTAAAAAGTACGTTTTTCAATACAAACATTTATATTCATAAACTAAAGGGGTAGTTTGTATTTTATATAAAGTTTTGGTGTCATTAGTGTCATAAATTCGAGTTTACTTCTTTTTGTTGCGGTTAATTTAACCAACAATAGTCTTCACTGACATTTGAAAAACGACTGTTTACATTAAGATTACATTTTAAGTTTAATAGAGATTCGAGAGAATCGCCCATTGGCAAATAATGCATGTGTATGGCTGCCTACCAATGTCTATGAAACCAAGTAAACATTTCTGAAAGACATATTGTTTTGCCCAAAGGGCTAATTTCTATCTTTGCATTAGTATATGCGCTCCGAAGACACTTCGAACACAATGTTTGTTCAAAAAACCTAATTTACTTTCACGAAAATAATATGTCAAATTATCTCAGTTAGCCTCAAAAAAAGCCAATTTGGCAATTCCGATGCAGTTGGTAATGGAAAAAGTATTCAGATTTCATAATATCAAGAAATTTAAAATGCATTTAAAATGTTGAAATATATTGTGTTGCTTTTAATTAAACTTTATATTTTCAAGCATTTCGAATAAAGTATTTAACTTGTAACGACGTATTTCTACTATTCTGAAAATAACTTTTCCAAGTTATGTGTTTACTATTTACAAATCTTCTGGATTCCTCCTACTTCGGTTGTTGATAAATCAAACTTGCTGACGTTTCACCACTGCTTCAGTTAAGCTCCGAAGAAGCCAACAGGATGATTGGCGAAACGTCAGCAAGCATGGTAGCGGAGCGCAGCGGAGCGAGTGATTAATAACGAGTGGCTTAAATAGTTTACCAAACGTGTTGCATACTATGCTTTTTCTACGATGGTTAGTTTTTCGGTAAATTTTTGCAAAATAACACGAATACATTCCGTGACATGACCGTCAGAATTGACAAATGTCAAAATTCCAACCTACCGCACTGTCCGAAGTAGCTCGAATCCGTGGCATAAGAAACTCAACTGGTAAAGTTAAGCTTCCCGCTTACTAGATCGGAGTGTAATTAGGTATTTTACGGAAGGGAGTAGCAAATAGTATTACAGTAGCCTGTGGAAGTTTCTTTAAAAATTTTAAAGGTGTTTAGATATATCTTAAACAAACAGCAACGTACAAAGAAATTGAGTTTAGAGAAATACGCTATCAAGTATAAAAATATATTTAGTTAAATTTTGGAGTACTTTCGTCCAATCTCCAATTCTGTCCCTGCAAGTAATAATAACTGAAATTATCAAAATGCTCTTTCGGCACGTAAACTACTAAATATATTTCATGGAAAACTTGACTAAAATCGTTAAATTTTTCGAAAAAGTTTAAAATTAATTTGTGTTACATGGTCTGAATCTTTTTCTTATTAGAGGACTTGTTTAATGAGACAGAAATTATTGGGTTATACGTAGTTATTACCTTATTTTTATGATAGTCTACGGAAAAGGTATTTTTGCACATATTGGGAAAAGAAAAACTATTTTTCATTTTCAAAGGACTATTTTTGCAAAAGCATGAAACGTTTTGACAGAAATTTCCGGTTATTATCCTGCGTTGATGCAGGATAGCGGTTTCCTTTAAAAAAATATCCAAATATTATGCAGGATGGCAAGTCAAACACTTTTTTTTTAATTACAGAAGAAGAACATTTTCAATTTTTTTTTAAAC